TGTTGAGATCCCAAGTGCTGAGATTCAAGGTGTGGCATTACCTTTAATTAAAGGTGTAATGATCTGTCCTGTCCCTTTAAGAGACAAGCAGAAGGAAGATCGCTTGCCTGGGGGAAGGTGGGGAGGAGTAGGCATGCTTGTCTCTTAAAGGGACAGGACAGACCATTACAAAAGGCACTATCGTTCCTGTTTCTGTGGGTTTCATCTTGGTAGGAATTCACTTAGTTTCTTCAAGGATAATGGTTTCCTTGAGACATATAGCTGGATATGGTGGTGCATGCCAGTAGGCCTGGCACTCTGGAGGATGAGGTAGGAAGACTGTTGTGAGTTCAAATTGAGTTTGAGCTACATAATGAATACCAGACCAACCATAGTTACAGAGAAAGACCCTATCAAATCCCTGACCCCAGAATGGTGGAGGGGTGTGTGTGTGCAGGAAGCTTTGTGTAGACTCCATCCACCAGATCGGATCCTGTCCTCCTGATGCTAAGATGTAGCTGCCATGGACACACCAAGCCCTGCTCTGCTGAGAGAGGATTCCTTTCTTGGTGAAGGCACCACAGAGTTGAACACAAAACTTTAGAAATCAAATTAATTCCCAAAGTCTGACTAGTGTTCTGGAAAAGTGCTCTTCAGGAAAAGGAAGCAAAATGAAGTGCTGATAACAGTGTGTAACCCAAACCAACTTGGTTACAAATCTTTTTTTACCTAAATGCAATATTTGACTCCAAAACATAAGGCTGAGATGCATTTGCAAGAGTCTACAACCTTTCAGGGTGAGTCTTCACTTGGGGGCTTTCCTGGCCTGAGGTGTTTCTTGTAAATGTTTGCCAACATAAGCAAATTGCCTCACCAGTCACTGAAGGGAAAGGAGGAATTGCTTTGAGAATAGTTGGGTCTTCTGGGGAAAGAGCTGTAAAGACTCCTAGAGTTGACAGTGTCATCCTGCCAGGGTTAGGGGACAGAAGTTAGTGATTCTTCCCAACCAGTTAGCACTATTCGGCTATGCGTAGTTAGCACTAGTCAGCTACACACAGTTAGCACTAATCAGGCATACACAGTGAATGGAGAAGCGGAAGTAGCAGGCTTGATAATCCCTAGGTGAGTCTCACCAGAATGGAGTGAAGATGAGACTAAGCCAGAGCTGGACAGATGACTGAGCAGCAATGTGTGAGGGGAACCAGGTTTCCCAGGGAGGACCCACACAGAGGGGTGCTGCTGATAGGAGCAGCCTTGGGCTCTTCTGTGGCAGAGCGCACTAAACGGGCTCAACAGGTTTCACATGGGGAAAGTTACGCATTGAGCACAGTGAGATGGGTTTGTAGTCTCGGTCTGCGCCCCTGAAGGGTTACCATTGATGGAGTAGGGCTGGAGCTGAGTACCAAGGGGAAAGGAAAGATAAGAAGTAGCTTGAAGTGAAGGAGCAACCCGGCAGTGACATTAGCATTAGCATTCAATGCCCTAAGCATTGAAAGACCAGGAAGAGTAGAGCCAAAAATCTAGCAGGGAGAGAAGAACCAAAAATCTAGGTTAGCCGGTTCAGTGACTCTGTTCCAGGAACTAGCTGACCATAAAGTTAGATTATAATCTTGAGAACAATGTTGAGAAACTGGGGAGTTACCCCCTTGTTATTATCACTGGTATTTTCAGAATTTTCCAATGTCGCCCTCCCTACCCCCTTTGGGTTGTGTTTTCTTCCCCTAAATACCCCTTCTCCCAGCTACTTGGGGTTAAACTCCTCTACCCCTGCGTGGGAAATGAGTCTCGGCCCCAGTGCGCTGGTTCCTGTCATGAATTCTTGGGGGGGTCAAATCCCAAGACTTGAGTGAGAGTCTCCCTACTCTGGGGGTCTTTCAGTAACCCAACCATAAGCTGGGTAGGGTCACTGTTAGGGTCACTGTTAGGAATTTTTCCTAACGCAAGCTCTATGCCAATGCAAATTCCCAATCAAGCTGTAATAAGCATGGAAACAGATTCCTCTGAATGAATAAATAAAGGGGAATCTGTAGTGTAGATAGAGCAGGAAATTTATAGAATAAGAATGAATGTAATTTGGTGTAATGTAAAAGCATTTCTTCTTGTGTGTGGTGTGGAAAATTACTAAGGTGAAATATTAAGAGAACATTTGCCCGCTTGAAGGTTGCCACACCTGATATTCTTGGGTCCCTGCCCTAGCCACGCCCACTCCCATGTGTGGCTTTTGTTGTGGTTTGGCGGGCTTTCCAACTGAGCAGACTACACTGGCGGTCGCCATCTTGGCTGAGAGCCAGGTCATGTGACCACACTCTCCCGGTTTTACCCGGCCTTCTCACCAGGTTTTCACCAAACTCCTTATGCTAACTCTGTTAAATGTGTTTTGAGCAATGGTCAAATGCCTTTGATAGGGCCCATCAGAGGCATCCACATTGCCCAATTCTTGTTCACTCTCTCTATGTATAACTGTTTATTACATCTTATTTCAGACTACAAAACATGAGTCTTGTATTTTAAACTGGTATGTACCTTTAAGTCTCTTAAGCTGTTCTTTACCA